AGAGAAACAAATGGAGTAGAATAGAGAACGCAGAAATAAACCCTCACATATATGGTTAACTGATTTTCAACAATTGATTTTCAACTATTTTCCCTTGTTGAAAATAGTTTTTTAGACTATTTGATGGGGAAAGCATTCATATTTTTGACAAATGTTGGTGGGCAATGGGGGAAACATGCAAAATAATGAGGTTAGACCTTTTCTGTACCCCACATAGAACGCTTAGCTCACATACAAAAAATTAACTCAAAATGGATCAAAGATCTAAACTTAAGTGCAAAAACCATAAAAATCCTAGAAGAAAATATAGGGGAAAATCTTCATCATATTGTATTTGGCAATGATTTCTTAGATATGATACCAAAAGCACAAGCAACAAAAGTAAAAATAGATAAATGGGACTTCATCAAAATAAAAAGTTTTGTGCTTCAAAGAATACCAGCCACAAAGTGAAAAGACAGCTCACAGAATGGGAGAAAGTATTTGCAAATCCTACATCTGATAAAGTACTTGTACCTAAAACATATAAATAACTCTTACAATTCAATAAGAAAAAGACAAATAGACCAATTGAAAAATGGGTAAGGCGCCAGGCACGGTGGCTCATGCCTGTAATCCCAGCACTTTGGGAGGCCAAGGCGGGTAGATCACTTGAGGTCAGGAGTTCGAGACCAGCCTGGCCAACATGACGAAACCCCATCTCTACTAAAAATACAAAAATTAGCCAGGTGTGGTGGCGTGCGTCTATAATCCCAGCTACTCCGGAGGCAGGAAAATCACTTGAACCTGGGAGGCGGAGGTTGCAGTGAGCCAAGATTGCACCACTGCACTCCAGCCTGGGTGACAGAATGAGACTCTGAGTCTCCAAAAAAAAAAAAGAATTCTGATACATACTACAACATGGATGAACCTTGAAAACATTGTGCTAAGTGGCCAGACATAAACTATAGTCAAATATCATATGATTCCATGCATATAAAATGTCCAGAACAGGCAAATCTACAGGGAGATTAGGGACTGCCAGGGGCTGGGCACACAGGGGAATAGAGAATCACTGCCTAACGGGTTTGGGGGTTCCCTTTGGGGTGATGAGAATGTTTTGGAGCTAGACCAAGGTGATGCTTGCAAACATTGTGAATGTACTTAATGCCACTGAATTGTACACTGTAAAATGGTTAAATGGTAAATTTTACATTGTGTTTATTCTACTACAATTTCTTTTTAAAAACTGAGCTTATTATTTTTTCTGTTTTTTCCTTTTGAAACAGGGTCTTGTTCTGTTGTCCAAGATGGAGTGCAGTAACACGATCATGACTCACTTCAGCCTCGACCTCCTGGGCCCAAGTGGTTCTCCCACCTCAGACTCCCAAGTAGCTGGGACTACAGGCCAGCACCACCACACCTGGCTAATTGTTTTGAATTTTAGTACAGATGAGGTTTTGCTATGTTGCTCAGGTTGGTCTGGAACTCCTGGGCTCAGGTGATTCACACACCTCAGCCTCCCAAAGTGCTGGGATTACGGGTGTGAGCCACTGTGCCCAGCCTACTTTTTCTTCATTTAACTTCTCTTACTGTGTCTTCATCTCAGGTAACAGCGTGATCATCTACTCAGTCTCCCAAGCAAGAAACCTCTGAGTCAGCCTGGACTCCACCCTCTGCCCTTATCCCACGCAATCCATGCATCACAGTCTTCCAGAAGCCTTCCCCTCCTCTCCATTCCCTTTGCTTCCTTCAGGCTTTCTTTGTCTCTCACCAGGACTCAGCAGTGTCTCCTCACCCTCCTCGCTGCCTCCACTTTCTCCTCCATTCAATGCACCCTCCACATTGCCTCCTGAGTTTGTTTCCTAAAAGAGCAACCTCAAGACTCAGCTGCTCTGCCTGAAGAACTCTGCTGCCTCCAGCAGAAAGCTCCACCTTTTTTTTTTTTTTTTTTGAGACCGAGTCTCGCTCTGTTGCCCAGGCTGGAGTACAGTGGCACAATCAAGGCTCACTGCAAGCTCTGCCTCCTGGGTTCACACCATTCTCCTGCCTCAGCCTCCCGAGTAGCTGGGACTACAGGCGCCCGCCACCACGCCTGGCTAATGTTTTGTATTTTTAGTAGAGATGGGGTTTCACCATGTTAGCCAGGATGGTCTCGACCTCATGATCCACCCACCTCGGCCTCCGAAAGTGCTGGGATTACAGGCGTGAGCCACTGCGCACGGCGAAAGCTCCACCTTTTGAAACAGATATGATCCTCCAGCTGGGGCGCCGTAGCTCACGCCTGTAATCCCAACACTTTGGGAGGCTGAGGTGAGAGGATCACTTGAGCTCAGGAGTTCAAGTCCAGCCTGGGCAACACAGCAAGACCTCCACTGAAATTCAAAAAAATTAGCCAGGCGTGGTGGCTGTAAGAATTAAGGAAAGACAAGAAAAACATGAAGGGTGGCTTGACAGTCATAAGGGATAGGTTTATTTTGAATAAACCTGAGAGGGGTGGCTGGCAGGGTTAGGTCAGAGCCACCCTCTCTTACAGACTAAGAGTTTGTAAGGATTCAGGGTGGGAGAGTTTATCAGAGGCTTGGACTGCTTCTGTGTCTCTTTGTTGTACTTATGTTGTGTTTATCTTTTTTCTGCAGCTACAGGCATATCCCCTGAGTCTGCTTTTAACTTCCATATCTTAGTTCACCTGAAGGGAAAGAAATGTGCTTATTAAGGCCCATTATTTTTTGTTTGTTTGTTTGTTTTGAGACAATCTCTCTCTGTCGTCCAGGCTGGAGTGCAGTGGCATGATCTCAGCTCACTGCAACCTCTGCCTCCCACATACAAGGGATTCTCCTGCCTCAGCCTCCTTAGTAGCTGGGATTACAGGTGCACACCACCATGCCCGGCTAATTTTTGTATTTTTAATAGAGATAGGGTTTCACCATGTTGGTCAGGCTGGTCTGGAACCTCAGCCTCCCAAAGTGCTGGGATTACAGGCATAAGCCACCGCGCCCGGCCTAAGGCCCACTGTTTTACTGGGGCCCATTGTATGAGAGTGAAGTTTGGCAGTTACCCAAGAGACTTTGCCTCCACCTCCCTCTGTACCCAAACTGTCTTATTTGTGTTTTACTGTCTGCTCTTTCTGTCTGCTTGTAGTTAGAAGTGATTTCCTTGAAATGCATGAGGCTAGAAAGGGAGCTGGAACTTAAAGTGGTGGTGTTTGTCCTAGATGACGGTGCTCCTGCTCCATCAGTGGCATATGGCTATAGTCCCAGCAGCTTGGGATGCTAAGGCAGGAGGATCGCTTAAGCCTAAGAGCTTGAGACTGCAGTGAACTGTGATTATGCCACTGCACTCCAGCCTGGGCGACAGAGCAAGATTCTGTCTCAAAAAATTAATAATAATAATGCATTAATTTTGAGACAGGATCTTGCTTTGTCACCCAGGCTGGAGTGCAGTGGCAGAATCTCTGCTCACTGCAGCCTTTGCCTCCCGGGTTCAAGCAATTCTTCTGCCTCAGACTCCCTAGTAGCTGGGACTACAGGCACGCACCACCAGGCCCAGCTAATTTTTGTATTTTTAGTAGAGACGGGGTTTCGCTGTGTTGGCCAGGCTGGTCTCGAACTTCTGACCTCGAGTGATCTGCCCTCTTCGGCCTCCCAAAGTGCTGGGATTACAGGTGTGAGCCACTGTGCCCAGCCTACTATTTTTTTAAGAGATCCTTCAAAACCTGGCCTTAACCCTCCTTTCCAGCATCAGCTTTCATTTTTCATTCCAGTCACATAAATGTCTCACAATTCTACCTACTCCATACCTCCATATTTTTGGCTGGTGCAGCTCTCTCTTCTTTCTGCCTTGTACACATTTTCTCTTTCTTCAAGACCAATTTCAAAGGTCACAGCCTCTGTAATGCCTTCCCCCACTCTCAGGATTGAGCTACCATTCCCACTGAACCTCGGCGAGTCTCCACCCCTCACAGTACATAGCACCCTGCATGTTAACTCTCTTGTAGAAAAATCCATCTCCTTTGTTTTTTATTTATTTGTTTATTTACATACAGAATCTCCCTTTGTCTCCCACGCTGGAGTGCAGTGGTGCGAGCATAGCTCACTGCAGCCTCCACCTCCTGGGCTCAAGCGATCCTCCTGCTTCAGCCTCCCCAAGTAACTGGGACTACAGGCATGTGCTATCGCACTCGGCTAATTTTTAAATTTTTTGTAGAGGTGGGGTTCTCACTATGTTGTTGCCCAGGCTGATCTCAAACTCCTGCCCTCAAGTGATCCTCCCATCTTGGCCTCCCAAGGTGCTGGGCCAGGTGCTGTGGTACCATGCTAGATGGTATGTCACAGGTAGCCAGCGGTTCCTGGTAGTGACTATGTTCAGAATGGCAGTTACAAGTAATCAGTTTCTTCTGCAGCAAGCACAGGGGCACAGGGAGACAGTCCTGACTCCAGGGGCTAGCACCTGTTGGGGAGTCTGGGATGCCAGGGCTAGCTCTACTCCTAGGGAAACTATATTGTCAGACAGGGCAACTGAGGCAGAAACCTTGGCCAACAGAGCAGAGAAGAGGAAAGGCAGGGGTCTGGTGGGCATCAGGGTTTCCAGGGCTCATTTCGGCAGTTAGAGGAAGGCAATGGCTTTTTGGAGAACAGAGTGAAGGACATATTGTGTGGGAAACGTCAGGGATGCGGCAAGGGAGGTGAATTAGCGGGGTACAAACTCCATCGCTTAGCCTAAAGCTTTTCCTGGTCTTTCCATCTTCACTGGCCAAAGCAGCTGTCATACAACTGGGTCCTTTGCTGCTATGATTTCAGGCCTGGAAGGGTCCTTAAAGATATTCCAGCCGACGCCCTGGGTAATGCTGGAATTCCTCCTAGACTTTAGGCTCGATCCACACACTCCCAGAACTAGTAAAGCCCTCAGAGACCTGGGGACCTGGTATGCAGGGCCCGCTCCTGCCTCCCTTGGGGGAGTTTTCCCCACTGCCTCCTTTCTTTGCCTGGTCTAAGTCCCAGCTCCCAGAAAGAGGTCCATACCTGAGATATCTCCACTTCCTCCTCCTGCAGAGCCAGCTTAAAGTCAGGAGGCGGCACAAGGCCGCGAAGCTCCGAAAGTCCTCCAGATTCCTTTGTGGTCAAGCCAGTTTCATTCAAATGAACCTTGTTCCCTGAGGATTTGTTCATGGGGGAGTTATTGTGTACTTGATCATAGTTCCCATGGCTACCGGCTCACAGTGTGAAGGGAATGGGCATACATCCACCTCCTCCTGCAAAATTGGGATTTGACCTCATTTATAACCAAACATGCAGCAGGCAACCTTGCAAATGACACAGCATAAAGAGAGTCCAGAGAGTTCTGAATGACTTAGTAGAAAAGAACATTAAATAAAATGGTACATGTTGAAGGATGTGTTCTCTCCCTGGTTCAACTTAGGTGCATAATAGCTGTTCATAGCAGTATTAACCTTGACATTCAGAAGGGGGACCATTCAACTGAAAGGTTGCAAATTGGCAACCCTCAGCCGGAATCTCACCCATAGACCTATTTATCCAATTTCAGAGTACTATGGTTTGAACGAGTCCCTCAAAGCTCAGGTGTTGGAAAGTTAATCCCTGATGTAATACTGTTGAGAGGTGGGATCCTCAAGAAGCCATTATAATGGATTAATGCCATTATTTCAGGAATGGGTTTGTTATAAAAGCAAGTTCAGCCCCCTCTCCCTCTCTCTCATGCTCTCTTGCTACGTGATGATGTCTCACCAGAGGCAGCTCCTGTATCTTGGACTTCACAGCCTCCAGAACTATAAGTCAAATAAATGTCTATTGTTTCTAAACTACGCAGACTGTGATATTCTGTGATAGCAACATGAAGTGGACACAGAGTGCTTAAAACTTGTTCTAAGTCAACTTTAAAATCAGTATCTTTCACTGAAAAAAAAAAAATCCAGGCCCGGTACAGTGGTTCACACCTATAATCCCAGCACTATGGGAGGTCAAGGTGGGTGGATCACATGAGGCCAGGAGTTCAAGACCAGCCTGGCCAATATGGTGAAACCCCATCTCTACTAAAAATACAAAAATTAGCCAGGTGTAGTGGCATGCACCTGTAATACCAGCTACTTGGGAGGCTGAGGCACAAGATTCGTTTGAACCCAGGAGGCAGAGGTTGCAGTGAGCCGAGATTGTGCCACTGCACTCCAGCCTGGGTAACAGAGTGAGATCTTGTCTCCAAAATAAACAAACAAACAAACATCCAGATTCCAGTGTCAATGTCCTTCTGTTAAGGGCTACCAAGAACACACTTAAAAGAAAGTTTTAAAACAAAGTTGGGGGACTGGGTGTGGTGGCCCATGCATGTAATCCCAGATCTTTGGGAGGCCGAGGCGGGCAGATCACTGGAGGTCAGGAGTTTGAGACCAGCCTGGGCAACATGGTGAAACCCCATCTCTATAAAAATTACAAAAGTTAGCCAAGCGTGGTGGCATGTGCCTGTAGTCCTAGCTACTCAAGGGGGCAGAGGTGGGAGAATCACCTGAGCCTGGGAGGTTGAGGCTGCAGTAAGTTATGATTGCAGCATTATACTCCAGCCTGGGCAAGAGAATGAGACCATGTCTCAAAAAAACAAAACAAAGCAAACAAACAAACAAACAAAAACCCAAAACAATGACAACAAAAACCCAAAACAAAAAAAGTCAGTTTTATGGACTCATTGCAATGAAGGAGACCACATAATATGGGGAACCGCAAGGCATCTCAGAAAGAGGTGTTGAAGATGACTTAGACTGGGCATGGTGGCTCCCGCCTGTAAGCCCAGCAATATGGAATGCCAAGGCAGGAAGATTGCTTAGGCCCAGGAGTTCAAGACCAGCCTAGGCAACATAGTGAAACCTCATGTCTAATTAAAAAAAAAAAAAGACTTATTGTAGGACTTATGCTCATGTTATGTTTTAGGAGAGGATTCGAGGCAAGAGGGTTTGCTCTGGTTTAGACGCATCACGAAGGAAGGGGTAATTTTTTTTTTTTTTTTTTTTGAGACTGAGTCTCACTCTGTCACCCAGGCTGGAGTGCAGTGGCACGATCTTGGCTCACTGCAAGCTCCACCTCCCAGGTTCACGCCATTCTCCTGCCTCAGCCTCCCAAGTATCTGGGACTACAGGCGCCCGCCACCACGCCCAGCTAATTTTTTTTGTATTTTTAGTAGAGACGGGGTTTTACCATGTTAGCCAGGATGGTCTCGATCTCCTGACCTCATGATCCGCCCGCCTCGGCCTCCCAAAGTGCTGGGATTACAGACATGAGCCACCATGCCCAGCCAGGAAGGGGTAATTCTATGTCTGAGTATCTTAATTTTCAACTGAAAGGTGGGAGAAAGGAGCAGAACTAAATAGTTTGGACAATGTTCTTGTTTTTGTCTGTGTTCAGACATCATGAGTACACAGTGGCCTTGTTTTTGTCTGATCCACCACAGTCATAGAGTGGCCTTGTCTCTGTCATGGTGTTGTCTACACAAAACTGGGTTATGTACTAGCCGGGCGCGGTGGCTCAAGCTGTAATCCAGCACTTTTGGGAGGCGAGACGGCGCGGATCACGAGGTCAGGGAGATCGAGACCATCCTGGCTAACAATGGTGAAACATCGTCTCTACTAAAGATACAAAAAACTAGCCAGGGGCTTAAGCTGTGACGGCGCTGTCATCCAGCTACCGGGAGGCTGAGACAGGAGAATGGCGTAAACCCGGGAGGCGGAGCTTGCAGTGAGCTGAGATCCGGCACTGTACTCACAGCCTGGGTGGACAGGCCAGACCCGTCTCAAAAAAAAAAAAAAAAAAAAACTGTTGATGTTTTGCCTGGGTGCAGTGGCTCACGCCTGTAATCCCAGCACTTTGGGAGGCCGAGGCAGGTGGTCATCTGAGGTCAGGAGTTTTGAGATCAGTCTAGCCAACACGTGAAACCCTGCTCTATTTTAAAAATACAAAAAATTTAAGCCAGGTGCAGTGGGCTCATGCTGTAATCTGAGGTTTACATATCCTCCCCCGCCTCCCCCCTCCTCTCCCTTCCCTTCCCCTCCCCTCCTCTTCCCCTCCCCCTTCCTCCCTCCCCTCTCCCTCTCTCTCCCTCCTCTCCCCTTCCGTCCCTTCACACCCTCCCCTCTCTCCCTCCCTCCCTCCCTTCCTCTCCCATCCCTTCCTTTCCTCCCCCTTTCCTCCCCTTCCTCCCTCTCCCCTCCCTCCCTCTCCTCCCTTCTCCTTTGCTTTCGGAGACAGAGATTTTTTTTTTGCTCTGTCGCCCAGGCTGGAGTGCAATGGCACAAACTCAGCTCACTGCAACCTCGCCTCCCACAGTTCAGAACGATTCACCTGCCACAGCCTCCCAAGTAGCTGGGATTACAGGCGCCTGCCACCATGCCCAGTTAATTTTTTGTATTTTCAGTAGAGTCGGGATTTTGCCATGTTGGCCAGGTCACCTGATCTCAGGTGATCTACCCACTGCGGCCTCCCAAAGTTGCTGGGATTACAGGCCTGATCCACCGCGCCTGCTACATCCATCCTTTTTATATTGACTTTGCCTCTTACAGACAAATGATATTCAAAATACTAGACAAGAAGACACCGTAGAAATGAGTGTAGAAGGACAGAAAACAATTGCACCAAGGACAAAATAAATACCTGATCAGATAATCAAAAATCCAGCCTGGGGGCCTTATTCCAGGAGTAAAAAAACTGAAAAACCAAATAAACCCCCTGCTTGGCAGGGCATGGTGGCTCATGCCTATAAGCCCAGCACTTCGGGAAACCAAGGTGGGAGGATCACTTTGAGCTCAGGAGTTTGAGACCAGCCTGGGCAACATGGCGAAACCCTATCTCTATAAAAAAATATATAAAAATTAACTGGCATTGCCAGGTGTGGTGGTGGCTCATGCCTGTAATTCCAGCACTTTGGGAGGCCGAGGCGGGTGGATCACCTGAGGTCAGGAGTTTGAGACCAGCCTGACAAACATGGAGAAATCCCGTCTCTACTAAAAATACAAAATTAGCCAGGCGTGGTGGTGCATGCCTGTAATCCCAGCTACTCAGGAGGCTGAGGCAGGAGAATCGCTTCAACCTGGGAGGTGGAGGTTGCGGTGAGCTGAGATGGTGCCATTGCAGCCTGGGCAACAAGAGTGAAACTCCGTCTCAAAAATTAAATAAATAAATAAATAAATAAATAAAATAAAAAGTAAACCAAATGCTTACAGATATCAACAAAATATCAGAACGCAATTCAATTAGCTCCCAACCATCAGTAGGATGGCACCTCAGAGACATAAGCAGTTTCAGATGTACATACAATGATGACTCAAGGGTCCCAGTCCCAGGCAGTGAGGGCTTCAGCTGAATCTTTGTTGCTCCTCCATTTCTGATAGTATCTTCCAACCAAGGACCACCAGGAAGCACCTGTAGTTGAACAAGGGCGGCTGAACAACATGGATATCTCAGCAAGAGCATGTGTGAAAGGACTTATTACAGGATTGGAGCTTTCGTTAGGGGACTTCTTAGGCAGGTTCAAAAAGGGGGGCATTTGCTCTGGGTTGGATGCTATCAGGAGGTAGGGATAATTATTTTTGGTTATATTAATAATTCTTATCTAGCAGATAGGAGGAATGAATCAAGCTAAAACTGTACTTAGTAAAGCAGCAGCAGTGGCCGGGTGCAGTGGCTCATGCCTGTAGGCCCAGCACTTTGGGAGGCCGAGGCGGGCAGATCACTGGAGGTCAGGAGTTCGAGACCCGCCTGGGCAACGTGGTGAAACCCCATCTCTACTAAAAATACAGAAATGATCTGGGCATGATGGTGGTTGCCTGCAATCCCAGCTACTCTGGAAGCTGAGGCAGGAGAATCACTTGAACCTGGAGGTGGAGGTTGCAGTGAGCCAAAATCACATCACTGCACTCCAGCCAGGGTAACAGAGCAAGACTTCATTTCAAAAACAAAACAAAACAGACAAAAACAACAACCAAAAAAGAAGCAGCAGTGACTTACCCTGTGGGAGTGAGGATTGTGTTGGTAATTTTCGTGGTTTGGACAATGTTCTTGTTTCTGTGTTGAGGCTTAATTATGGAATGGTCTTTTTCTCTATCATCAGTCAAAGAGGGACCTTGTCTGATGTTTTTTGTGAAATTATGCTCAACAGGACACCACCATGGCCTCACTGTTGGTGCCAGGCCAGCTCCTAGCAACATCAAGGCTTCTGGAGTGAGGGTGCAAACCAGCTCCCAGCTGGCAGCAGTTGCTTTTCTCTTTTACACCGCCACACTCGAAATCAGAATTGGCAACCCCTTTGGTAGAACATGAGCTCCCGGTCACTATAAGCCCACTTATACCCAGTAACGGGCCTACGTCACTCATTTACACTCTGACCTCTGTCCTGCGAGGTTGGTGATTGCACCAACCACGCCCAGAGAAAAGTCACTCGTCCAGCATCTCCCAGGGACCTGCTGGCAGGGCTGAAGATAGAACTCTGACTCTGTTTTCCC